TTTTTACTACATGAATCTAAAATGTTGAAGCAAAATGTTAACATATAAGTAAAGTAATATAATCAAATTATATACAGCATACTCTCGATATCTCAAAGTTGAACAAATTCAGAACTGAACATGTTTTCTCTAAAGTAGAAAAATATATTCTAAAATATTACTCTAAGAAGTAGAGTCATGAAACATAAGAATAATTACTAATTAATATGAATGTAATGATAGTTGACTATAAGTCTAAATACAACAATTCTAGTTTTATTTTTAATAATAAGACAAAAATAATTATACCATTAAATAGAAGAGAATTGGTTTACAATAAACTTTGTGACTTTTCCGAAAAAATTCAATTTCTATTTCGAAAAAAATTCGTCAAAACAAGGTTTTACAAAGAAACTCTCCGACATTGGAATTCAAATTATTATTAGGTGGATATGCAATGCTTGGGAGAAAAATATTTTTCTGACATAACAAAGTTTTCGAAATATCGAGTGTACTGTATAAAAATAAACATTTGTATGTATTTCAAGGCAGTGGTGGATCCAGCGGTGGGGTCATAGGGGTCATGACCCCCCTCCCCAAATTGAAAAAATTTTTTTTTTAATAGTTTACAAAAGAAATAAAATATTTTAAAATTTATTTAAGGGGGCATATACATAGGTAGGTCGATCTTTCCAAGATTATTAATGCCTGCGACATCGATTTATACCCATCACTCAACTTGGCTTAGAGCAACTCAAAATCAAGAACGATTAAATGAACTCACATTACTGAACATTCATTGAGAAATTGCTTTGGATGTTGAAAAAATCATTAACAGATTTGCCAAAGTTTCTAAAAAATGCATTACATTTATTATTTAAAGATTTTGAATACTTGAATTATTTATGTATTGTTCTATTGTTCATTATGAAACAAATAAATGAGAAGACTAGCATTAAAAACCTCTGTTTTTTTTCTCAAAAAAAAAAAAATTTTTTTTTATATATACAAGAAACTAATTGTGGGGGGGGGGGAATCTGAGTCTATGACCCCTCCCCCAGGAAAAATTTCTTGATCCGCCCCTGTTTCAAGGAGGTAAAATATAGTGAAAATATGTCCATAATAAGCAAAATAGAACTTTCTTTTCCAAGAAGTTTAAATTTCTATAAATTAATTTAGACATATCTAGGCTAAACTTTTTATCTATAAGTAAATAGCCGAGCATAACACCGATGTCTATTTTGTTACAGGTAGTATTTTTACAGACAATATTTTAAGTATTAAAACTTTAATTAAAATATTTATAAAAATTTTTAGTAAATATACTGTTATAAAAGGTAACTTTGAAAACATAGAAACTTTCTTTATGATTTGGCAAAATAGTAAATTCTATTGTTACAGCACAACGCTATAGTTCATTTTTTTAATCCAGTCAAATATTCAGAAAAATAGCATCATAACTCTTAGAACAACAAACTAAAATCAGAAATTAGAAAAACTGGTATCAGTAGAGAACTGAGTTCATTCGATACAAAAATGATAATAATGAAAAGCCTTAATTAATCTAAAGAAAAACACGAGAAAAAGAGCTTTTTTAACTCTTTATAGGAAAAAGGATTTAAGTTGTTAAGATAATTTAAGTGAGTCAGGTCATAGCAAGGTAGTTCATTACTGCCACTTTACTATTTAATTTTATATTAATACTGATTAAAGAAAAACAGAAAGTTTAAATATAAACTAAAAAATTCTCATATGTGTTGTTGCAGGATTATAGATGGCAGAAAAGTGTTTTTATATAAGTTGAAAAGACAGTGTATGTATTTTGTGATGAGGTGACACCAGATTCAAACCTCAACAATGGCAGAACAATTCATAATATCTTGCTTGGCCAGCAAAAAGCTTAAGTTAAGTAAGTTTTAGAGCTTAAGTTTTGAAATTTAGTATTCTTATGCTTACTAACAGAATGTATTCATAACTATCTAAATATTTGTAAGTAGATTACTTTAACTTATTAGTAGTCATTCTTATACTAACAAAATTGTTATTGTATCGTAAACTAAAAATGTTACTGTTCAAATAAAAATGTTCTTTCTTTATAATTGTTTCATTATAATGCTCGTTTTATTATTGTTTACCGGACAAAAATAACTCTTTCGTAATAAAGTTAATTACTTCAAAGTTCAGATATGTGTGTTGGGGACATGTGACATTATACCTATATTATTTAATATTTTTTAAATAAAAAATGAGTCTGCTGCATATTTTTTTACTCCTTGTGAGTATTTTAAGCAAAACACATTGTGGGGATAGTAGTTATCGACAATGTTAACCTTGATCTATGGAAAGGTACCCCACCATAGAATCGAGTTAACATATCTTACATACTAGCGAATTGGAATTATACTTTTGTAGTGGTAGATACACTACAGTACTCTCCCACCAGAATTATAGCTGTGATAGAATTCGATTAACAGATACCACTAGTTGATTCATTGCAGTTTTGTGAGAGCTGTATTAAGATCACCGTATCTTTTGAGTGCAGATTGTGAGAGCTGTATTAAGTTCATGGTCGATCCAGTGTTGCCTTAGCAGTCGAGTGTATACGTTGTACGTTATGTGTGATCGAGACTGAGATGCAACAGCCTGAGGAGGACAATGTCGCAGGTCACAAGTAGCAAGTCAACTGTTCAATGTGGATCATCCATCGACGTAGGCATGTTCAAATCATAGTGGGCGTTTCTGCCAAGGCAGGCGTGTTCACATCACGTACAGGTCGTCACCAATGTGGGGATAGTAGTTATCGACAATGTTTACCTTCATCTATGGAAAGCCCCACCATAGAATCGAGTTAACATGTCTTATATACTAGTGAATTCAAAGTTATATTTTTGTAGTGATAGATACACTACACACATTATTAATGAAGAATTTTGCTTAAATATGCAAAAGTTAACAAATGGAGAGAAAAAAAAACATGTATATACATAAAAAATCTTTTTACACTAACTAAAAAAATTTTTCAAGAAGTCTATGAAAAAATTTTCTATTAATTCTTTTTATGTCCATACCAGCAAGAGTTTTATATGAGTTTTTTAAACACTAAACGAACCAATTTTATGACAAAATATTTCCTTATTGCACCCCGAATCTTGTTAAAGAAGGCTTGACATAAACTAATAATAAATAATGCTTGCTGTCTACATAAAAACCAAGACTTACACTTTTAAACTTTTTACTCAGAGATATTTTCAAAAATGGTAGAAAAGCAGGAAATGGCTTGTTACAAACTATGCCTACACTCTGACTTTCTGAAAGAAAAAAAAAACAAAAACATTTTATTTCACTATTTGCTTTAAAAGGAACAAAATGAAATCTATTTATAGTGATACTGTCCATAACAATAATAGGTTCAGACTGTATTCTAGATGAATATATTTTTAACCCACCTACAGATGGTTGCCTGAATATAAACAATAACAAGCCTCCTAAAACAGAAAGAAATTTAAAAAACTTTCGGTGTATCCCTCTGCTTATATTATGCTTACGAGGCGATGTTTGGGCAGGCTTAATATTCTAGGAAGTTTTATTATTTAATTTTTGCATTTAAATTTACACGTAATTCTACCATTCATAACAGTTTTCTGTAATTTAAAAATTCTAACAAGTTGTGAGCCTAAAACTAATTTAACAAAACTAGGAGGCTTCGCCCCCTGCTCGCTGCTGCTCGCCAACCCCCGGAACTGGTTCGCAGTTCATTTCGGATTGCTTCGCAATCCGATGCTCGCTCATTGGATACGTTCTTAACGTCTAGCTTTTGTATACTTTTCTGAACACTGAAGTTCCGAAAACTTTTCACTGTAGAAAATTCTAAACCTGTGCATTTCAATATTAATTTGAAATTGCAAACAATTCGCATATTTTTCTTAATCACACTATTCTAAATTTCAGTTGTTGAGAAAAGTAACTGTTGTAAGTTTTGTTTTAAAGTCTTTCCCACCCGAGGGCTAAAACCATGTGTTGTAAAACAATATGAAATAGTATTGAACGCCGGATGAAAATTATCTTCATCAAAGCCGATGTAGCTTCGATGAAGATAATTTTGTGAGATTTTTTTGATAATTCGGTGAGAATTCACCCGATTAGACATATGATGCTCACTTCGAGCTCTTGCGCGCCAAAGCCTATCAATTAAAACGTATTAGCGTTTTATATAATATAGATTAGCCATATGATGCTCACTACGTGCTCTTGCGCGCCGAATCCAATCAATTAAAAATGAAAACTGTTGCCAGCGCGAGAAAAGAAATATCATCGGTTTTATTGATACATACGTATTAGCGTTTTATATAATATAGATTATTATCACAGCATAAATAAAGTGTAAGGTTAACCATGTTTTGAGATTTATCCTTTATTTGGTTATATTTGCATAAAATAGCACCATTTGTTATTTTTTAGGTAGCATTACGGCACGCTTGCGGAGTCTTCCAAATTTATTTGTTGTTTCTTCCATTGAAAGTTAGATTAAAAGAACGTGTCATATTGAAAACACGAAAAATATAATAATATTGGATGGTGCATGTTTTGAAGCTTAGGCATAAAAATGAGTCAGAATTAGTAACCCGGAAGTCTTACGACAATTCGTAACGCCTAGAGTTCCCTGCGCTTAGCTTTACGCCATCAACCATATATATCAACAATTATTTTTTTCAGATGAACCTGTCAATAACAAAAATCAAACTTCTATTCAATGATTGGAAAGATACAAACTTTGTCTTAAAACACTAGCATTGTACTGGAAAATGACATTCCATGTTGAATTAAAGGAGGAAACAAAAAATTATTGATAGAATTGCATTCTTTGCTGGATAGTCAAATTTTGTAGGTTTTAGTAGTTAGAAAATGATAAATTTGTTTTGTAGGTTAGAAAATGATGAATTGGAAAGAGGAGAATATGTCCAGATATTTGCCTGTCTGTCAGAATGTCTAAAATTGTTGCTCTTTTGTGCCAGTTGCAGCACTTCGAATTAACCATCTGTCCACGTCCTGACCCCTCTCCTTCTCTTCTCGGTTGTATAGAAATGTACTACGCTATTTTCCATTTTCTTAATGTTTTCGTATTCAATTGTCAAAAATATTTTTTTTAAATTCTACGAAGCTTTCTTTTGGAACTAAGCTTTTGATCTATTTGAAGTTCCAGACAGAAACTAACGTACTTCCTTCTCCTATGACTTATGCCAAAGCAGGCGAAGTGTTGTTATAGGTAGAGAGTTCTGCTCGACTTCACCTGTAGTCCATTTTGATCACCAATGAAAAATAAGCACTTTAAAGGGCTTTTAAAAATGAAAACCAAAATTAAACACTGCTAAAAAATATTTCAGAAAATCATCAATACACAAAGCAAATTGATATTACTAATAATTGCTATTCTTTTTAAGAAAAGATATTGAACATGCTGTGGGGGAATATAAAATGGACAGCAATTAAATTGCCATAAATGGTGATGGGAACAAAGTTAAAATAGTTCTATAAAAGGAGACTGCAAAATTGCCTATTAATGAGCTAATGATCCTTGAAAAAGATGGAAAATCGCAACTTTGCTAAAGATAACTGATTTCAAATCTAGCAACATGCAATAACACCTTAACATGTTCTTTCACTAAACTTATTATTAACCAAATTACAACCGAAGAACATATATTGAGCTTAATCAAACATTAAACTGCTATAAATATCTGTAATAACAAAAGCATCAATATTTCAAAAGAAAATTTCTTTTTGTAAGTCACTTGAAATATAATTTTTCTGAAATTGAACATTTATTTATAAATCAGGGATTAAGTATAGTATAGGAACTGCATTGTTTCTCACAACATAATGTCTTACAGCATAATGAATTTTTGACTATAGTACCCAAAGTTTGAACTCTTCATGTCAATGTTATCCACAATATAACCAACAACAGATAATAAATTCAAACATTTGAAAACTTGACAAAAATTAAGCTTTTAAACGTTAAGGTAAAAAGCAGATAAAGATTAGAACATTTTAAAACTTAAACGTTAGTTTTTATTTTAAAGCACATGAGTATGGTAAAAAAAAGACATTAATTTACCTTTCACCATTGCAGAAGCTGTGTAAATATCTTTGCGATGAGTAACCTAGAAATAGAAGAACAATATAATTTATCATTCCAATTTAATCTATTGATTAAAATCACACATAAAAAGAGCAATACAATTTAGTTCCTTATGAAAATTTGCCAGAAAATTTGAAATTATTTCTTTTTAAACACATGATGCTAGATATCTAAATATAATGGTGACATTATAGCAAAGAATGTATTTCTTCAAACAAATACTAAATAATAAAATGGTGTAAGAGTTATACTACCAAACCTGGAATGCAACTAAGAAGATACAGATATGATATTAGTGAGCACTCTGAACCAAAGGACTAAATTCCGAAAATGAAATAATTTATTTAAAGACAAATTTTAAGTAACGGCCATTTCAAAATACAGTAACTTTTTTTAATATAAATAATCCCATTTCCTTCTATTTACAAAACCGCTTATAATTTCCTACGTTAAAAATCAACTTTCCTCTATCATCTTCAATCAAGGGCTGTTCTATTTTTCCTTGTTTCCAAAATAATATTATATAAATACCTTCGGCTGATGTAAACCTTCATAATTTTACTCTCCTAACAAAATTTTCAACAGATTTATTAAAATCCTTACAGGTGTTATTCATTGTAAATGTGTGTTAAACTGCTTGAATTAGTTAAAACTGTTCTGAACCTGGGGCGACAATAATATTGTGAGGATTAGGAATTAAAAGCTAAGTCCCAAAGCTGGAAGTCAGGGTGCGTAGCCAAATTATTCAACAAAAAATAAGCACCTATAAAGCCCTTTTCAAGCACTGTAAAAAAATCACAATTAGGTAAGATTGAAAAGTTTTAGACAATTGAAGGTTTTATCTGGTTTTAACCGTCATGTCAAAATTTTTGAATCATATAAATCGAATGGTGTTTTCATATGCTATGGACTGACGATACGCCGAAATAGATTGGGGTTGAATTAGTTGTGAAAACGTTGAATAGAACAATGTGAACAGTGTCTTTCTTCATAATTCATAGCAAAAATCAACCTGGTAAAGGAAAAATCTCATTTTGGAAGAGGAAAATTAAGCGCTTTTTAAAAACACCCAATGAAAAGAGCACCTTTAAAGGCTTTTAAAAAACAAAAATAAGCACCTTTAAGCACTTTTTAAAAACGCTATGCACCCTGATATGTGTGTGTGTGTAACATAAAAAGCTCTTTTTAAGTTATTTCTTTATCTAAATTCTCCTTTTTAATTAATTATTCAAAGTTAAACGCTTTCTCACACCTAATTATTCGCATCCTGTCTTTATTCTATATTTCGATTCAAGTATGCAAGAATTAACAATTAACATTTTAAGTTTTTTCCTTTACTAAGAGTGAGAACCATATTCTTTCGACTTATTCAACAGACTAATTGTAGTTACTGTATCGCTTTTGGCATGTGACTTAAGAGTTCATTGGGAGTTGTTTTTAAAATTTTCCCTACCCTTTGAGAGTGAAGCACTTTAATTTTGGATTATTCCGCATATTATTCTCCACACAATGATCACTTAACAATATTTTTTATTTTGATTATCCTGATTGGCCACACTGCTATCATATATATATTGAACGAGTAACATTCCAACTAAAGTATTCACTTATTAAACAAAACATTGCACACATTTTTGTATGAGAACTTTATTATCATTACAAAATTTACAGAAAAAAAGGCAATTAACAAGAATGCTTAAAATGAAATGTTACAAAAGTTCATAATGTTTGTTATTAAATATCGATTATTCTGTATATTATTTATACAAGATAATCAATATTTAACATTAAAGTATGAAATTAATTTTTTTTTCTCTTTCCACGTAATGTTACATCCAATTAAATGAAAAGAAAAATATATGTGTTACCGAGAATGAGTGAAATAAAGAGAATGTCGACTTTCACTGGTGAATATGACATAGTCGCTTTAGTGAATGTCTGAAATATTTGCTATATCCAATTTGATATTAATTTATTCCTTGATAATATTACATTTATTCGATATTTTAATATCTTCTGAGGGTAAATTATGAGAAACAACAGTGTTCGGAGTACAGGTTAAATGCATACTGGGCAGTGGCAAATTTTTTTTAATTGTCAAACTAGAAATAAAGAGTTCAATAAATATTTTAAACTAATCCAACACAATACCTTCCATAAATGTGATGTTCCTGGGAGTAGCTTTGCCTTTACTCCAGCATATTTCTGCACCAAATGTAGACATTCTGTTCCATGTTCTAAATCATAAGCAGAACACTAAAAGTGATTTCATTCATCATAAATATTTGTGAATGTATTTAATTATCTTACATAACACTAAAAAACTGATTTTAATATCAGAAAAATATTTTTATTCTATTACACTGTTTGTTACAAACAAGGATTGATGTTTTACTAATACATATAATAAAGAGAGGTAGATCATGATTTCTAAGTGAGAAAATCTGGACTCCTTTTAAATACAATATGTAGGAAAGAATTCTAATATTGTCACGTAGAATAAATCCGAATCAGTCCAGAAAGTTAAAGAGATTTATTTAGAACCTTCGAGCGTACAGGAAACAAGGTAACTGGACTTTCGACTTGAGATCTTTTATAGGACTAAATAACAGAACAGAAAATAACGAATTAGAACATTTTAGAAGAAACGGGAAGAAATTAAAGCTTATATTACATTTATAGTGTTTTACATTTTCTTTGAGCTCTAAGGATCGAACTCGGTATCTCTGTCTCTCTAGGACAACAACTCTCTAACCTCTCAGCTACACTGACACATGTCAATATGCACTTTTTGCTAAATATAGTAAAGATTTACAATATGGCCTTTTGTCAAATGTTATAACAAGATCCTGATGGCTCAGGGAATAGAACACTCGCCTCCCAATGAAGTGACTCATATTCAAATCCCAGTGATGGGTGGTCAAGACAAATTTCGCAATGAGATCTCACTGCTGACGTAAAATGTTCAGTGGTAGTAGGAACATGGGTAAGAGTCTCCTTGCCATCAGGCTAACTGTGGGAGATTTTCATGGCCTTTTTCTCCATGTAATGCAAATGCAGGTTAGTTCCATTGAAAAGTTCTCAGGCAAATTTCTCTCAAGACTTCCAGGAGTTCGCGTGGCTTCTGGATTGGGTTCAAGACTAGAAGGCTACAGAGTTAAACATTGGTAGACATAAACTGAAAATTGGGTTGGCTGTTCAGCGGCGGTTATAAAATAAATACAAAATTTATAGAAACAATTTCTTTTATTAATTAATTTTTAAATGCAGTTTCAGAAAAAAAATTTAATGTTGAATTTTATTCTCGTAGAACTCTAAACTACAAATAGAGTTTAAAATTTAAATGTTAACACATAAAAATATAAAATCAAGTCATTAAAGAAACTTATATGAGCTTCCTTGTCAGAATTTTTTAGTAAAATTTATGCAATTCTTATAAAAGATAATGATTTTTTTCATTATTTTTTTAAAATTCTATATCGCAGTTTGTGAAATGTCCTTAAGTATTCTAGACTAAGGCAGCACATTAGAAACCTGATTTCCAATTTTAGCACTAAAATGTAAAGTCTATATACCTACATTTGTAAAACAAAATATCTACATTAATTTTAATGAGATTTTTTCCATTGTTGGAGTAGGAAGAAAGTTATACAGTAGGGAACCGATTATCCGGAACGATCGGGACCATCGCTATTCCGGATAAATGGCGGAAAAATTTATCGAATTTCGTTCCGGTTTTTTGGTTTTCCGGTTTTCTGATTTCCGGATAACGGGTTCTGTACTGTATTAT